AATTTAAAATTTAAAATTTTATTAATTTTTAAATAAAAATATTAATTTTTATTTTTTATTTAAAAATTAAATTAATATTTTCAAATAAAAAAATTAAAATTAACATTATTATTTGTATTTTTTCTCTCATTAGAACTCGGGGAAACATTGATAATATGCCTTCATTGCAGAGACTAACCCAACACTGGAAACTCTAAAGAAAATGCAATTATATCATAGGATATTAAGATGAGACAGGAAATTTACTGATTTGGAAGCAGTGCATTTCCAATGGTATCTCATAAGCCAATTTTGAAGAATCAATGGCCTAGTGTTTTGCCATATACAGCTAATCAATTGAAGAAAAAAGAATCGGAGAGCAAAAACAAAATTAGAGGCTGGTGTTTGAGTTGAGAGGGATGGAGTCCTTCCAAACTAATCAATACAAGGTGTTGTAGGTAAAGCAGGTGGCGACAATGGAGGTTATGCATATAACTAACGAAGGAAGTAGAGTTGCATTCAAAAGCCTATTCTCCCCCAGGTAGCCAGCCAGTGTTATTGTGCCGTCTGCAATCACTCGAGCAATTGTCCCGGCTTCTGTTGAAAGCAGTCCACCATTGTATGTTCCACGGGACAGCCTGGATGACATGACCCGAGAAAGTAGAGACAAGTTGACGCCTACATCACAATATGGTTGAAGAACAGAACTCATTAAGAAATCCCATCTCGGAGTTCAAATCTATAACATAACTACAACTGTATATCTCCTAAGAATCTGTTACTCCTTAAGAACTTTATGCATGTTTCACCTAGCTGAAAAACTGAATGTGGTGTGCTGCTTTTATAAGAATAAGCATATTTATTCACTGCGTAATACCTTCAAGTACTTCGGCTGAAACAAACATGATGAGTCCTGAGAGGACATACTGTGGCACAGAGTATGGTATTATTACATTGAAGCTTAGAAGTATGCCTATGCAAACCACTATTTCAGATGCTAACAAAATTTGCCTGCAACAAGATCAATGAAAATGGACATATCAAATAAATAAGTTCCTGTGCTTTGGATCAATCAAACATCAATGATTACTCATTTATATAAAAGATAATACCAGAAATATGCATCCTGTTTAACATTTACCTGTCTTCAAACATGTTGCTAACGTAGTTTCCAACAACAATGTTTACAGGAAGAACTGTTAAGCCAAGACAAGCAAGAAAGATCGCCACAGTGCTTGTAGACCATTTGAAGTAGTATGTTGTAATGACACTAGATTCTGAGAGTAAAACCTCCATTGCATACTTGAGCATGAAATATATCAACAACTGAACCTGATAATATTGTATGCATTTATGTGAGTAGATGTATTGAACTCAAAACCACTTAACTTCAAAAGGATGCATTAGAGGTTTCTTAAGATCTTCTCAAGAAATAACCACTAGCCATGGTTTAAGCAGCCAACCAATAATCAAAGCATAAAGTCCACCACCAGTGATTGGATCACGTGATTTGATTTTACAAGGTGAAGATGACATCTCATGCATACCTTTACTGAGGGCGTGAGTAGTCTATAAGCTGATGCAATTGAAGTAGCTGCTCGACGAGATTCCTCAGCAGATTCTTCACTTCCATCACCTTCTTGCTCACCGTCATCAGCTTCTTCATTGTCTGTGGAACTAATGAGCAACGGCTGTTTAAGACCTTTCTCGAGTGTATCATTTTCTACTGGTTCTGCAATTATAAGATCCAACATCCAAAATCACAATTTCATATGCTGAAGAAAAACTTTAATTCTATATAATGAAACAATCAGGGGAAGAAGTCACAAATCAAGATTTATGTCAATACAACCTTAAATAGAAAACTTAAACAAATAGCATGGAAAGCAAAGCAGAAGTGAAAAGACCAAAAAAATTGGTGGATTTGAAGTCCAAAACCATCCTGAGTTTCAGGTGAGAAGTTCTTGGCTCCAAAGGTATTTTTGAAAGATGAACTCCCTGAAACAATGCCATGCAGCAATTTATAGGTTTCTCGAATGTTTTAGTATAAACTTTATTACATACCAGGTCCAAAGTTGAAATTGTACCCTAAATGATCCTAATTTTTCTTTTTGGCCAGGCTGATCCCGAATTATCTAGGACAACATCTATGGAATATCAAGCCAAAAAGATTATTAACACAAATCAACATACCAGTTAAACAAAAAAATAAGAACTTACCAGATTTAGGCTCATGAGGTGAAAAAGTCTCTTCCATATCATGAGAAGGCTCTCTAAATGATATCCACGACCATATCAAATATATAAGCCAAGCTACAGCCATAACCCATCCAGGCAATGTGTTTTGATTGAATGTAATATTGTAAATCCTGAAATTCGTCTGAAGAATGCCAGCAAGAGCAGGACCACAAGCCATCCCAAGAGCACTGGCACTGACAAAACCAGCAGATGCCTGCATGCGGATTCTTAATGGTACGCAGTCACTGATATACCGTCGGTTAACAGCTCTAGCAGAACCCAATCTGCAATTAAAAATATTGACTTGGTCAACTTACATGGCAAGATTAAAAAACAAAAATTCTTTAATATTACCAAATTACATCATTCGTATGTTAAAAGTTTAATTAAGGGGCTCCGTTATAGTTAATCATGATGTCATGCCGTATCATTCAAGTCTATCAAGAAACATATATGACTCACCATTAAGAACAATATTTGGATTGTTAATTATGACAGAGAAAGAGGTGTGGAAAACCACAGAAGAAGAGAACACTTACCCACAGAAAAGACGACCAATAAGGAGAACCCATATTGAGTTAAGATCATAAGCCATTGCGTACATGGTATTTCCCACAAGAAGAACTATACTGCTAAATATAAGAGGTCTGAAATATGATCTATTTGACCATGCACTAAAATAAACTGAAGAAAACAACTGTGCAACAGCCATTGCCCCTATCACAATACCACAAACGGTTGCTGCAGCTCCAAGGCTCATCGAGTAGTCATCAGCTGTAGGGACAATTATATATGTATTTACCATATAGAGAAATGTGTTTGCCAAGTTCAAAAGTAGTGACATAAAATGGTATCTCTTTTCATCAACTTGTTCTGCAGTTGGAGTAGGCAGCTCTTCTTGCATAATGAGTGCATGTTGTGCAAGAAAGTTTAGGAAGTTTGTTGAGTTGGTTAACCTATCCACAGCAGCTTTTATAGAATCAACCACAGTATCCTGCACAGAAAACTCATTAACACAAATAGAAAAAGACCAAGCCTTATAAAAAGCATCAGAGAAGTCATGAAAGAGGAAGTCAACATAATATGGCCTGAAGTGAGGATATGTAAAAAAAAACCTGGAGAGGAAGAGAAGGCTGATCATAAATTGACAAATAACTTCCCTGACGGTCCTGAAGATCATGAAGATTGCGAGATATTGCCCCCACAACAGCCCCCAATCCCTGCAGGTTATGTAACAGGAGGTAAGCTTTCTATGGAGTGGCAAATTTACGCAATATATTGTTCTTCCATACCAAAAAAAATACATGGGTTTGTTACAAAATTCTATTTAGAATCCTAATTAAAGAATCCTAATTAAAGACAGGACAGTTTACAAGGAAAGAAAAACCTTTTTGGCCTCAACACATTACCACATGCTTAAACACTTGTTGCAGCTGAGAGTAGGGATGATTAGCACGCGTTTTAACATAGTAGTCAGTGAATCTATATCCAAAGCGTTTGTCAAACTTCTTCAGTATCTTACGCAGACCAATTGCATTCATCTCAACAAAACGGAGAAGCTTCAAAAGATCTAGTCCCACTGCTCTATAAGCCTCTCTTAATTCAGCTATTTGGGATATATCAGGATGCTCCTGAAGAGCATCATGCCATTCCCCAAGCTTCATTAACCTTTCTGCAAGTAGCCCTTGTTGTTCCAACAGAAAAAGAACAATCTTCTCAATCTGCAAGTACAGAATCAGGGAAGTGTATAGAATAACTTTCAGATTCAACCTTAAGGTTTTATCAGATGACATCTTAAAGCAGCTTCAACTGTTTAACATACATGCAGTTTGGTGCAAATGGGATTCAACGACCATGTTGTTAAAGATGGAACAAATAACAATCTCTCACCAAACAGTTTTTTGCAAAATAAACAGATATGGATACCTTGAGACACATTTTCCAACATACCTGATTATCCAGCATTCTTGAGAAATCCTTGAGAACATGACGGCGATCCACTGTCCCAAGTTGGATTTGATGAGCATATTGTTTCACTTTCTTCTTCATTAATTTGTAGTTTATGTAATATCTAGAAAAAGGATCAAAATATGAGCTCAAGGAAGAAAATGTTGCACAACGCTAAAATCCAACTCCAGGCTAGTAAGTAAAAACTCTCATCTCAAATATCTATGACCTGATTCCCATAAGAGAAAAACTAATTTCTTTTTATCTTAATCTTGAGAGAAAGTCACCAAAAATTGTAAATTGATAATGTAAAATTGTAAGCAATAAATTTTAAATTTATATTCTTCATACTTGGAGTAGATTGAAAACGGAAAATTTAAACAAAATGCTTAGAGCACCATCAAATATCCGATAAGATGATAATTTAGTAAGGTTAACCTCATCAAACTAATTCAATGAAGCAATAAGATATATTCAAAAGAATATAAGAACACCATCAGAAACGAAAATGGCTATTAAAGAAGAGGGAAAGCCCCAGATAGAGCAGAGCTTTTCTCATATTGCCTATCAAAATCAATTTTAACCATGACTGATATAGGCTTAGATCAAAGCAAATTAAATTATGTACCCTTGCCATTCTTCGATTTGTCTTTCTTTCAACTTTTTCCCAAAGGCAACCATCTCTTACTGCAATTAAAACAGGAAGCAAAATCAGTGGAACAAACGGCTATAACCAAATAATAATCAGAGGACATTTGAATCCTTCAAAAAATTAAGTAAAACTCATAT